AAAAAAATTATGCAAACTTTTTAAATGTAAATATTTCCTATTAGGAATAATTTAAAAATTATTTTAGTTTATTACAAATTATTTTGTACTGCTTGTTTTTTAATACTTATATTTATTCTTAATAAAACAAAATATCTTATAAATTAGATTTAAAAGTATGTTCAAAAATGCACAATTTTATAATATCAACTCTAAAACAAACAATAAATTAAATTAATACATTCAATTAAAAATGCAAAACTTTCTATTTAAACGTTTAGTGATTTTATATAAATATTTATGTCTCTAAACATACAAATGAGAGGGAGCTATCTACAATAATTTTAAATACTGTATTTGTTGTTCAACAACACTTCAAGGTTATACATTGTGCGCTAATAGCACCGGTATTTCATAATAAAGTATATGTTAGCTTACGAAAACAAAACAATCTCATTTACTTATGTACAATACGCATTTATAATTTGTATTATTAATTTACATCAAGTGCCATAAACTAGGTAAATTTTTATTTATTTTTTAAATTAGCAATGCCAATATTACAGGTGTACACTACGCTGGCCAGGAGTCAAATACCAACTAAATTTGCGGCAAATACGGCTCAACTACTCTGTAAACTGCTCAACAAACCTACGAAAGGCATGACTATTTGCGTGAACTCCGACCAAATTATATACCATGGTAATTACTGTTTCAATTTAGCTTATTAAGTTATTTTATATTAATTATTTAAATTTCTATCTAGCATAAAATGCACATTCATATCATGGCAATAGAATTAAACCGCTATGCGACATAAACTAAATAACAAATGCTTGTATTTGCTTAATAATTAACACGCTCAAATTTAATTAAATATTTAATTTATATAGCTAACTAACAAGTAAATATGTAAGTTAATTATTAGCATGTTCAACAAATTATATTTTACTAACTAGTTTATTATGTTAACAGTAAGCTATAATTATTATAAAAAGTTATTTAAATTAGCATGCTATTAATTGAAAATTTTATTTTTTATTAATAAAATATTTTTATGTTTACTAGGGCTGAACCCGGATAGTCGCGCGCCGGCATCCCTGTCCACACTGCGAAATATTGGCAAAATGTCGGCGGATGTCAATCGGACGGCCACTCAGGCGTTGAGCAAACATTTCGAGACAGAGTTGGGTATAAAGTCGACGGACTCTAAGTTTGTGTTCATTGAGATCACCGGCTCTGAGCTCGGACTCCAGGGTCAGTTGATATCTGACTTCCCGTGACTTAAATTAAAATTAGATTAAGATGTCCTTACTTACTATAAATAGTTTTTTAGTTGCTATAAATTGGTTTATTTAAATAAATAATTTTTGCATGTGTAACTTGAATTTTTATATTTACATGCTAATATAATAGTTTATAATAAAACTTAAGATAAAGCTGATTACACTAATAAAATTATGATTGTATAAATTTATTTAAACTAAATTAAATTAATTATTTTGATAACTGTTTGATCTGGTTTATTTATAAGCGTATACTATGTGAGCACCTATTGTTTAATGTGGCCTAGTCCTATTTATATCATATGTTTCATTGTTTACATTAGCATTATGTAATGATATAATTTTCAAACAAAATTAATCCTGTGCATAATTAATTAATAATGTCCAAAAAGTACACGGTCAAACTGACATCGGGATTGATGCACGTGGTGGAGCATGGTGACATAATAAAATACAGTATTACCACCGTGGGTGATATGAAAATTTACCTAAATGTAATGGATAAATTTATTTTTGAAAAGCATAACCTACTTGTGCGAAGTGGGTGCGAAAATAGACCGGAAGTAATTAGCGACGATTATGTGCTTGCTAATAGTAGCCGCGACCCGTACTTTGAGATTCAAGATAAAAGTGACCAGGAACGGTATTATCATTATAAAGTAACGCGAAGAAAATTTCTCGATATGGTGAGAAATGACCAGGCTACAAAATATATATTTAGAGATGGTCAATATTTTGAATGTGTTAAGCATGATGATCACTAATTAATTTACTAAGTATAACGTATATATTTATTGATTCAGTATGTTGTATAAATTTAAGTCAACATTTAAATGTACTGTACATTGAAAACATTACTGTATTTTATGATTACCGTATATTTAATGTATTTTATATCTATGAGACCTAATTATAAAATATAATAATTCAACTGTTTTTAAGAAAAATAATATTTTACTGTTAATACTTTTAAAAATTGAATAATGTTACTTTTATTATATTTAACAAACATACTGTATAATTTTTAAACATAATTCTTAAATGTTTTTTACGTTAACTTCTATGTTAAT